GCACCGCCACCCCCCCGCACCGCCACCCCCCGCCGCTCGGCTGCTTCTGGGGAGCTGGAGGGGAAGGTTTCTTTACTTTGGCTTTCCCAACGTGTTAAATTTAGCAGGAGCTGCTGGAGTCACCCGCGCCCCTCTGCTGGGAAGGTTTCTTCTAGAAAAATCCGAAGTGTTTTAAACTCGTTATCCCGCGGGGCGCCGGGTGACATGGCTGGAGATAAACGCTGCTCCATGAGTTTCTTCTCCCACATAGACGGGGGCTTGTTGGTTTCACGCGGTCTTCCCAGCTTTGGAGGACCAAGGGGCTTCTTCCAACGCCCTGAGCGGCGCGAGGAACCAAACATCTCCAAGCAGCCCCACGCCATCGCCTGTGCCATCCGGCCAGCAGGTTGTACATCCAGACATCAGAAAAGAAGGTGTCTCATATGGCAGGAATCCCGGGAGGGGGGTTGTGTGCAGGTACCGTGGAAACAACCCTGGCAGAAGCCCCCTGATCCGGCCATCCTGGTGGGAAGGGGCTCTGCCCGGCCTGAGTGGGCTTGGACCAGCCTGAGGGACCACACAGCGGCTGTGTGAAGGCACCGCTTTCCTGCTGATGGTCTTCACCTGGAAAACATGTTCCTCTTTTCTTTATTTTTCCCCAACAATCACCAAACGAAATGCAAACAGCAAGTTTGTCATTCGATCAAGAGAACTCAGTAGAGACCTGTGAAGATTCTTCTTAACGCAGCATCGCATTTGAATGGATGTTGAGTGGTGATTTTCTGGTTTCTTCAGGTTTGACAGAAACTATTTGGTTTATTAATGTCATAATAAAGGTTTACGGTTCCCTTCTACTGCATGACTCCAGATTACCACCATAGACTGGACAGATAGTAAAAAATGTTTCCTATAACACCGCTATAATCAAGATATACTTCCTCTACATCTCTGCACTAAGTATCAAATTGGGGGTTCAGAAAGGCTAACCCAGGACAGTGATGGATTGGTAAAGAGCCCGTGGCCCCGATTCTGATCCCAGTAAAAAAATGGGGTTAACTCTAAGTCGACAGAGATTCACCGTTGCAAAAGCCAATGTGATACCAGTTTCTATAAAGATATAAGCAGGGCTGATAAGGAAAAAAAAAATAATAATGTTGTGATATTGTTATACTGAAAAACACAACCAGGATCGCTGGTAAATTTGGTCAGCGTGACCCTAGATTCATATCCGTTCAGCATCAGAGTCGGATCAGGAACTGAATTACTTCTGCATCCTCATCTTATTGGAGAGTCTTAATCCCCAGGCTATCAAATTGTTTCTGTTCTCTCACTGGCCCAATGAATATTTAATTATTCTTACAAAGCAGAGCAGCTTCAGCAGGACAGATTCTCATCCCAGAATGTGCCGGCGGTTGGGCACTCTCAGAGGAGTTCAGAGACCCAAATTCAAATCCCCATGCAATCAGGCAAAGAGGGGATTTCAACCTTAGTTTTACACATTCCACTTGGCAAGTAATTCCCAAGCCCCGTTGCCATCCCGAGCCCCTTTGCCATCCAGCCCTCTGCCTCCACGCTTTCTATGCTTTTTTAAAAACAATTTTAAATGCCACAATTAAACCATTTCTACAACCTTTTCCCCCTTTTTTCAATTCACTAAGAAATCTATAAATTTTCATTTTTAATTAGTTTTGGTGTTGTTTTTTTTTTACCTTTTCTCTTGCCAAAGGCCCAGTGAGAAGGTTTATTTGCAAGCCCCTACCTGGTTCGGAGCAGCTGCTGGCAAGGTGTGGAGCCCCGGTCTGAGCATCCCCAACCCCTCCCATGAAAATGGCTCAAGCTCCCTCTCCCAGCTGTCGTCAAAGCAGCAGCACCCTTGAAACCACTGCTTCCCATGCTGGCATCTGGTGAAAAATACCCAGTTTATAGCTAGAGATAAAGAAAGCAGGAAGGCAAGTCTGACATTAAAAAATGAAACACATACATAAATCTGTCTTTAAACGTAGCGCACACATATATAATTATTAATTCATCCCTCTCTATTATCTTCAAACCCAGCAATACACAGATTTCCTCCAGGCCCTGCTCTGTAAGTACATCTCTGTTCCACAGAGTTTTTCAACATGTGCCTAAATGCTTTGCTGCTCTATTGTCACAACACATCGTTTGTGTATCTCCTCCAGATATATGTACAGAGAGTTTATGTGGTTCCCCAGCCTCTGGTCCCGCAGCCACTCTTGAGCAAAGAAAGCCCCGTTAACCCTGCTGAGCCCCCCAGAGAAATGCAGAGTTCACCCATCCAGGCTCTTCCCAACGCCAGAACTTAAACTCACATTGTCATTTAAATAGATACATTCCAAGAGCGCTAATAACAAGGGAAGACTTCACAGGCTTTATTAAAATATTTAAGGCAAATGACACCAGCCTGTGTGCTAATTTAATAAAAATACATTTAATAATTTAATTTAATTATGGTAATTTAAGAATGCAATAAAAATACATTTTGAATCTATTATCAATCTTGTTTCCTCACAGATGCCTTTCCTTTTTATTCTGGGGAATGTTAATAGGAGCTCAAAGCCGAGAGTGCCAAAGTGCAGAGCTGTTCTCTCCAGGAGAGAACCAAGAGCCCTCCCGCAGCTCCAGATGACATCCACGTCTCCTCGGGTCGCTGGGGCAGTTTGGATGGTGGATTCTTTGCTTGGAATCCCTTTTGGGGATGTCACTGTCCTATATTATACACGACACAGCCCCTGTACCATACACAATGCAGCTGGTGGTGAGAGGGAACCAGTGCTGAGCTGCAGCAGAGCCCCCGAGCTCAGCATGGTTTGTCTGAAGATGGGATTTGCTGGTGGAGACAACTGACAGCTTCACAGCATCCCCCAAATGCTCCATCACATTGCCCATCCAAGTCCCGGGAGGCTGACATGGAGGCACCAAAGTGTAATCTGGGGGGACGTGGTGGGCCCTGCCCCTCCACTGGCTGCCACACTCCTCCTCAGGGACACCAACACTTGTACAAATACACTCCCTTTTCATGTAGGGGAAAACCGGTACACACACACACACTTTTCATGCCAACTAACTTGAGATGATGATTTCATTTTGCTCTGCTCTCTTCTGCC